GCTGGGAGGCAAGCAGCAGCAGGTGCCTTCAGTTTGGCCTCATACATTCGTTGTCACGAGCTGGGTCTGCTTCCCTGGCTCAGACCTTCGTTTTTCAGGGTCTGATGAAAATCTGATGAGTGGGGGGTGGGCACCCGGGGCAGCTGCCCAGGGATGGCTTCATGCCATCTCTTGGTGGACATCAGCTGCTGTCTAGCTGGGGCTCTGTTACTTCTATTCTTCAGGTCTGGTGCCTTTTTATGCCATTGCATATGGAATTGTTTAACAATTTCATTTTCAAATTGTTCATAGAAATATAGGAAGATAATTGAATTTTGTGTGTTGATCAGATATCCTGAAACCTGACTAGATTCACTGAATCATTTTCAGTAGTTTGTTTTGTCGATTACATAGGGTTTCCTCAATGCATAATCATGCTTGCAAATAATGGCTTTCTTCCTCTTTTTCCCCTCCCTGCCCCCATCTTGCTTTCTGATTTTTATGCTGTTTCCTTTTCTTGCCTTATTGCATTGGCTGGGATCCCAGTACAGTATGGAACAGAAGTGTCAAAAGTGACCTTAAGTATGGTGTTGTTAGTTTTCTATAAATGTATTTAATCGGGTTGTGGAAGATCCCCATTATTTCTGGTTTGCTAAGAATTTTATCGTAAGTACCTACTGAATCTTTTTTCCTGCTACTGTAGGCTTGGAGTTTTCTTTGTGGGAAGGTTTTTATGTACGAATTTAATTTCTTTAATAGGGATAGGGTTATTCGCAGCTTCCCCCTTATTTCCAGTATTTCAAGAAGAGGCGATTTTAATGTTACATTGTGACAACCAAGACAAACCCTGGTTTCTAATAGAGAAATGGCAGATTTCTGGTTGGGGACAGCCGGCGTGCACAAGGGTCTCAGAACATTTCATTGTGCCTGAAGGTGAGGGGCCTCTTCAGGACGAATGGGGCCTGTGGAGAAGACAAAGAGCCAGTTTGAAAGAGGTGGCGTTGGTGTAATCTGGGACAACCTGAGCATCAAAAAGAATGAGGTCCATAGTTAACTGGGATACCTCTAATCCGTTTACATCCATGAATCCACAGTGACACTCTAAGGAAAGAGAACGCCTGAAAAACTCACCTCAGGCAGATCTTAAACCAACTCTTTATTTTGAATATTGGCGGCCAAAGGGAAAAATCGAGCATTATCTTGTTTGCGCTAGAAAGACGAGGCCAGTATAACCAAATGGCTCTAAGTATGAAGAAAGACCTCCTTTAAAAAGGAATGTTGGGTTGGGCATGGTGTCTCATGCCTGTAGTCCCAGCACTGGATTACAGTGTTAGGGAGGCCGAGGTGGGTGGATCACCTGAGGTCAGGGGTTCGAGACCATCCTGGCCAACATGGAGAAACCCCATCTCTACTAAAAACACAAACATTAGACAGGTGTGGTGGCACACGCCTGTAATCCTAGCTACTTGGGAGGCTGAGGCAGGAGCATGGTGAAACCCCATCTCTACTAAAAATATAAACATTAGCTGGGTGTGGTAGCGCATGCCTGTAATTCCAGCTACTTGGCAGGCTGAGGCAGGAGAATTGCTCGAACCCAGGAGGCGGAGGTTGCAGTGAGCCGAGATCGCACCGTCGCACTCCAGCCTGGGCGACAGAATGAGACTCTGTCTCAAAAAAACAACACAAAGGAATGTTGGTCCGTAAACGTGAATGAGTGACTAAGTTAGAAAAATCATCTTTTGCAAACACCACTGAAATCACGGACCAGGGCAAGGTTAGCCTGTGAGTGTTTAGACCGTGAGGTGAGCAGCCGCTGGGGACAGGGCCCTCATCTGGTATCGGCGGCAGGGAAGGCTGTGAGCCTTCCCTCGTGTGGGCATCAGCCTCAGCCTCCCAGCGAGGGTCACCCAGGGAGCGTATTTCCTGGTGGGAAGTGCAGGAGCTTCCCATCCCCTGGATACGTCACAGCCGAAATGTTCACCATGAATCCAGCAATGTGTGGAGCTGATTTCCATTTCTAAGGAATGAGGGGGGATGGGAAAGAAACCCTCAGGACAGCAATGCCAGGCCCGGTGGGGACCTTTCCCGGACACCCGGCCTTCTCGGCGGCGAGGCAGGTGGTGGGACCGACAGGCCCGGTGGGGACCTTTCCTGGACACCCGGCCTCCTTGGTGAGGCAGGTGGCGGAACTGGTTCCACGTCTGATCTTCCTTAGACAAACCTGCCCTCAGAGGAAATTGTGGACAACTGGAGAAATTGGAAAATGTACTAGATATTGGCTGATATTGAAGGATGGATGTTTTGTTAAGTATGGTAATTCGATTTTGGCTCTGTGGGGAAATGCTCTTATTTTAAAAAGATGTGCACTAGAGAAAAAAGAAACAGCATGTGGCAAATACATCCATGGATGTCCTCCTGGTTTAACTGGTTCTGTGGCCTTGGTTTCTGCCTTCCCGATGGCACCTCTGTGATTGGAGTCCAGACCCCGGCATCAGACTGGCCTCCGCAGGGAGGAGCTGGGGTGCCCAGGCCAGGCCAGGCAGCTCCATTGCCCACTGCCTGGGCCTCACCTCATGAACGCCAGGCACCGTGGCAGGCATGGGCAGAGCCAGGCGGCTTCACGCCCACACCGGCAGCTCCTCAGTCCCTCGCCCTCCACTCCCACGTCCGGCAGTTCTGGAGCACGGGAAGCTCTCTAGGGGCTGCTGGGCAGCAGGACCTGGTCTGAGTTTGACTGAGTCTGCCTGGGTCTTCACATGCCTTCCTGAGTGTGAGCGTGTCTGAGTCTTACCGCAGAAACGTTAAAATGCTTGGTGACAGGTGTTAGGAGACTTCTGGGACCTGCACTGCAGCGCTTTTCTAAAACTGGGAATATTCTGAGTCTCAGAGCTTGTCTGGATGAGGAATCCCGGGGCCCGATTCTAGACAGGAACCTGAGGCACCAGCAGCAAAGGACGTGGCCCAGCCTCGGAGCCCCAGGCAGCTCGGCCGGGAGTGCGCCCTCCTACCTTCCCAACCCAGTCGCAGTTACGAAAAAGGAACAGTGCACGATTCCAAAGTTATATTTAAATGCCAACTGCATTGAATTTGGCAACATTTGCCAGGAGTTATGGAAAGCCTTTCAAAGATTTAGCAGGACAAAAACAAACTAGCAAGCGAGCATTGTCAGGTGCTTTAAAAGTAAACAGGCTTGAGCAATGGTGTTTGTTTTAGAAAGTTGACGAGCTTTGCAGGTGGATCATGGGAGTGCCTGTAATTACTGGGTATTCAGCTAAGATCCCCTCTGGTCTGTGCCTCATAAAAAGAAGGCGTATTCCGCTGAAATTCAGCTCCTGGAGCTAAGATTTCAGAAATGCCCTCTGTATACCAGGTAAATTGCAAAGGGGCAAGGTGTGAGGAGGGATTCCGGGCTCAGGACCCTGGGGGCTGGCGTCCCTCTCCTCTCCCGGAAAGCTGGCCCAGCCATCCCTCTTCCCCTTGCCTCTCTCCCACCTTCCCTGGTCTCCTTCTCTCCCTGTCTCTCTTCTGCACTGGGCGCCTTCCAGCTTTGGGAGCTGGGCCCAGCTTTGCCTGAGGATTAACGACAAAGAGAGTGAAGATTTGACTGGCAGACTGCCCGCTGCCCCTGTGGCCGGGGCCTCTACTGTCAATGGGAAGGTGACTGCATCGTTGGAGAATAATGGGGTCATGAGGCAAGCAGGAGGGGGTGGTTGTTCTGGAAGGTTCTGCAGGGCCAAACTGTGATGAAGATCGCAGCATGAATACGCCCTTCCATCCTCCAAAAGTCCAGTGTGACACCTCAGTTTGTTACGGTGTTGACAGTAATAGTGTTCTAAGGACATCATCAGATAAAATCATTCCTCCGCAGCCTGGGGCTTTGCAAAGATTAGCGAGTGGTTTCTGTTCTTGAACCATCTTCAGGGCTGTCAGTCGCCTCCCTCCCTCCCTGTGAATCCCCGAGTCACCAGCGGTGAGGGTGGGGCCCGGTGCTGACCTGTGACCCCAGCCCTGGACATCTCCGTGGCCGGTGTCACGAGGGCCCTGGCTGCGCTTCTGCCCACTGACTGGCAGGCCAGGCCCGCAGGCTTTGTGTCAGGTTCTGATCCTTCTTTCCGCACGTGCTGTCTGTCCAGTAGTTCATGGTCAGCCCCAGAAATGCACACTCGTGATGGCGTGGGCCTGCGCAGAACCTGCACGTGGTACAGCAGGGACCTGGCTACGCTATCCTCTGGTTAGTGCTTCGTTGGGTTACCCGTGACCAGCAAAGCTGGGGCTAATTTCCTTGTCTTTGACAACATGACCAGAGGGTCCAAACAGAACAGAACCCGAACCCCATAAACATCTTCGACCGTGAGACTCCACGGCAGCCCCAGCCAGCCAAGGCCCCAGCACTTCCGTTTTCCTGAGGGCTGATCCCTGCGGCTGTAAAAGAGGGCGCGCGAGGTGTGGGGTGCCGGTACAGGAGTCAGAACTGGCCTCGGCTGCAGCCAGCACCCTCCTCTGTCCAGGAGACCACCCCAGGTTCTCGATTGTCTGGCCTCTGGGCAGTGTGGCAGCCCCTCTCCCTCCCTCTGACCTGTCCAGCGTGGTTGCAGCCTGCAGTGGGGCTCCCAGGGCCCCTGCCGAGCACCAGGAGGTGAAGCCCAGCTCCAACAGCCCTCGTGGCCTTGGGAGGTGCTGCCCTTTCTAAACCTGAACTTTTTCAACTGTAAAAATGAGGATATTTAATTTTCTGAGATGTCTCAAGTACTAAATATGAACTAAAGGAATTTTGGAAAAGGACAAAGCTTTAGCAGTATAAGGCATGTCCTGAAGTTGAAACTTATGTACATATTTTGATCAAAGGTGAAATAAAATTGCATTTAAATCTGCAGATCGGAGGTGGTCAGGCAGTCGAAGAGTTCCCTGAGATGCAGTGGTTTCTTTACATGGCTTGTTGCAAGTTTGTAACATCATGGCAAAGGTTTACTACATATGCATCTTAAAGATAGGAAGAAAATTTAGCAGGAAACATTCAATCCAATTGACTTAGGTTTTATTGGGCACCAGCTATGTGCTGGAGAACCCTGGGACTCTGCTGCAGCGCGGACCCCGAGGTGGGGTTGTTACGGGGTCAGCGAAGTGCGGGCCATTTCCATGGTGAAGATCCTGTGAACTCTGGCGTGGGTGCTTGGACCCATGGTGTTCTTTCTCCATGACCCTCCGGAAGCTCACGCAGAGCCTGGAGCTTGCAGGCCCTCAGGCTGCCATCTTGTCCTTGGTGTGGAGGGGCTCAGCGACCTCTGGGACCCCGTCTGGGCACCTCCCTGGGCCCTGCAGCATCTTGTTCCTCCCCTCCAGCTGCTCAGCCCATCCCACGCGGAGCCTGGGGCAGGGCGACAATTTCGTCATTGTGAGTCAAGCTCTTGGGACTGAGTGACAGCCAAGCCCGTGTCTCTCAGCACCTGGGCACCTGTGAGAGCAGGAGTGTGACACTCGCCGCTGGGGGGGGTGTCACCGTGTCCCTGCCCAGCCGGCAGCTGTGACCTTGCTGGGTCTCCCAGGGCCCTGGTTGGCCTTGGCTCAGGCTGCCGCCCAGTGGGGGGTCTCACTCAGGACCCTCCTCACAGGAGAGGAAAAATGCCTGCCCCGGGAAGCAGCCTGGGCCCCCACTTCTGGAAGCTTCCGAGCCCCAGAGAGACTGCGCCTGAGCTCCAGCTCTTGCAGCCTCTGTCTCTGCTCTGCTCACCGAGTGGCAGGTGCCCTTGCAGGACGGGGCGGCCTCTGTGGCTGCCTGGGGCCTGCCTGCCTCCCTGCACCCTGCCCGGCTGCCTGTGGGTGCCCACTTCCTTCTCGCTTGCCGGCCCGCCTCACCTGCCCAGCCCGGCCACAGTGGACGGTGATATGTTGTGATCTCAGCCCCACGCAACGGGGGGACCTGGCGGCAGGAATGGCCTGGTCAAAGTGGTCCAGGCTCCCCGAGACCTGGGCAGATCCCCACCTGCCTGTGGCTGCCGCTTCCTTCAGCCTCAGGTGTTTTTGGCTTTAGATGTTGGAGAGTGGGGTGGGTGCCCGGCTCCAGCCAAGGGTGAGCTGTGTCCATGAGGACACTTGTCCCAGATGCCCAGGACCCGGGTGACGATGGCGCTGCTGAGTGGCAGGCGGTATAGCCTGGATGGCTGGGCCCCACGGTGATGGTCCCCGAGGGACAGCTACCTTCACCCTTGCCAGGCCATGGCTGCTGACTGGTGGGCCCCAGGACAGCTCCAGGCATGAGGGGGTCAGCTGGGCAGGGCGTCAGCAGCTGCTGCTGTCCCACAGACTTGGTGCCTCTGGGCCTGGAGTCCTTGGCCGTCACGGCCGGCCGCCCATCCCAGAGAGGCTGCCAGGACAGCCAAACCCGTGGTGATGGAACCAGCGGCCTCTGTCCGTCCACAGGGGACTGTGGTGTCCCGAGCCAGGGGCTGTGGATGGCCAGTCTCCCACATGAGCCAGCTCCTCTCTCACGGCAGCTTCCCAGAGTGGGCCTGGCCCATGGGCTCACATACGGGACCCTCTCAGCTTTCTGGGCTTCATGCAGGGAGGAAAGTTAGGCTACTCTCTAACGGGAACCCTAAGAGTGACCTTAAAAGTGGTGGTTGGCCCCGTGGCCTGGGGAGAACCGGGCTATGTGGGTGGATGGAGGGGAGTTGTGCAAATGGAGGCTCCGCCGGCCCCTGAGAGAACCCAGTGCTTGCCTGGGACACCAGCCTCCACCTCAGGGGCTGGAGGAGGCAGCGCAGATACAGTCCCAGGGCCTGAGCCCACTCCTGGGACCTGCACCTGGGCAATGGCCAGAGGACACCAGGGTACATGGCACATGCAGAGGCACGCGGAGGCACGCGGAGGCACACGTGGAGGCACGCGGAGGCACACGCAGGCACCGGGAGGCACGCGGAGGCACCGGGAGGCACGCGGAGGCACGCGGAGGCACGCGGAGGCACACGTGGAGGCACGCGGAGGCACACGTGGAGGCACGCGGAGGCACACATGGAGGCACGCGGAGGCACACGCAGGCACCGGGAGGCACGCGGAGGCACATGCAGAGGCACGCGGAGGCACGCGGAGGCACGCGGAGGCACACGCAGGCACCGGGAGGCACGCGGAGGCACATGCAGGCACACGTCCGGGAAGCACAGGGCAGGGTCGAGGCAGGGCCTGTGGGGCAGGCATTTGGCGGCGGGGGGGCCTCTCCTTCTCCATCTGCCGAGTGCCTGCCTGGTGCTGGGCTCTGTGCTGGGTCCATGTCTGTAGTTGGGTAGCTGGAGAGTGGGGAGGGGCACCCTCAGACTCTGGGGGCCGCCTCAGGCTGAGGAAGGGGCACCACGGCTCTCTTGCTTGGGGCTTGAGCACCAAGGGCTGCCTGGAGCCTCTGGAAGCGCCTGCTGTGTGCCGGCCAGTGTCTTGCAGCAAATGAGGAGCTCCGCTCCCCATCCAGCTGCTCCTGAGCAGTGGCTACACCCTGGGTCGGCTCAGGGTCACCCACTCAGCACCCACAGACCCCTGGGCTTGGCCCTAGGAGAGAAGGGCGTGCTGGCTTCGTATCTGCCTTCCTGAGCGTGTCTGCTAGGAGGAGGAAGGGCACAAGTACGGATACGTCACTCAAGGGCAGTGACCTCAGAAAAACAAGCCAGAGAAAGACATTTCCTTCTGGAAAAGTTCCTGTGATCCTGGATGGGGTGTCAGGGAGATGGCAGGGGGAGGGTGTGTGGGTGAAGGGAGTGTGTGTGTTGGGGTGTGGGTGAAGGGTATGTGGGTGTTGAGGTGTGTGTGTTGGGGTGTGAGTGTTGGGGTGTGAGTGAAGGGGGTGTGGGTGTTGGGATGTGGGTGAAGGGGGTGTGCATGTTGGGGTGTGGGTGTTGGGGTGTGGTTGAAGGGGGTGTGGGTGAAGTGGGTGTGTGCGTTGGGGTGTGTGCGTTGGGGTGTGCGTGTTGGGGTGTGGGGGTTATGGTGTGTGTGTTAGGGTGTGGGTGAAGGGCATGTGTGTGTTGGGGTGTGGGTGTTGGGGTGTGGGTGTTAAGGTGTGGGTGAAGGGGTGTGTGTGTTGGGGTGTGTGTGTTGGGGTGTGGGTGAAGGGGGTGTGGGGGTT